CATTGAATATGGGTAAAATCCACTTATTGCCTTAACCCTTTGAGATATTGCTTTGAAACTTTTAATGCTATTTCACATCATTACCCCCATCTGTACGCAAGAGAAGGTAACTCTGTCAATGATTTGTTTTAAAAATTAAGGCCTTTTATCGACTTAGAATCTTGGTTAAGTTTTTAGTACCAGTCCACTTTTTGACTGAACTGTTTGAGATATTAATTTGAAAGTTGGAATACTTGTTTACAATCATGATTCCCAAACATGTCCAGGAGAAGGTAATTCTGTCAAAGATTTTATTTGAATTATGGCCCTTAACTGTCAATGTTTTGTATTATAGGCAAGCACTAAAAAACTTAAAAAATCTAAAAAAATTCATTCCTATCCACTTGTTCACTTTACCATAAATTATGTCATAATAAAATAATTCTTCACTAAATATCTTAATGCTCATGGCCATTGTTCACTTTAAAAATACAGAGATTCTTGTATTGCCTTTTACTGCAAAAACTTTTTTTATTGGCAAGCAATAAAAAAGTTGAGCGCGCTGTCTTACGGACAGCTCTTGTTTACACAGTAAAATACCCAAGAAGAATACAAATCTAAGAACGTCCGTTTGTCTGTCTGTCCGCACTCACAGGACAGTTATTATTTGGCTAGAGGGACAATAGGTAACTGTTCTTTCTCTTTGATGTCATTCATTCCGTAATGCTTTTATGTGGCTATTTTCTTTTGTGTGGCTAAAAAGAACAATAAAGAGAACAATAGAGTAGCCACATTATTACTCACCTGTTAGAACGTCCGTCTGTCCGTCCATCACAAAACTTGTCCGGACTACTCCTCATAAACTACTGGTGCAATTTCATCCAAACTTTACAGGAATAATCAGTACCAAGTCTAGTTGTGCATATTGTCAGCATTTTCTGGTTCAATGATTTTTGTCAGAGTTATGGCCCTTTAATAATTTTTATTTTTAAAGTTTGTCTGGACTACTTATCTTATACCACTAATGCAATTTCAATGAAACTTTACAGGATTGATCTGTAGCTCAAGTCCTTGTGCATATTGCACAGGTTTTCCGGTTGAATGATTTTTGTCAGAGTTATGGCCCTTTAATAATTTTTATTTTTAAAGTTTGTCCGGACTACTTATCTTATACCACTAATGCAATTTCAATGAAACTTTACAGGATTGATCTGTAGCTCAAGTCCTTGCGCATATTGCACAGGTTTTCCGGTTGAATGATTTTTGGCCGAGTTATGGCCCTTTGATAAAAAGGTGTTTTTTTCTGTGTGTTGCCAGATACACAAAAGCTTGTCCGGACTACTCCTCATAAACTACTGGTGCAATTTCATCCAAACTTTACAGGAATGATCAGTACCAAGTCTAGTTGTGCATATTGTCAACATTTTTCGGTTCAATGATTTTTGTCAGAGCTAGGCCCTTTAACAATTTTTATTTTTAAAGTTTGTCCAGACTTCTTCTCTTATACCACTAATGCAATTTCAATGAAACTTTACAGGAATGATCAGTACCAAGTCTTGTTGTGCACTGTCCGTCTGTCTGTCCGTCTGTCACAAAACTTGTCCCAACATGAAATTGGCCATCATTAGGCAACACATGTGATCACTGATCGCTCTCTATGTTAAGATTAAATTTGAAATGTTCATAAGACAACCGGGGGGGGGGGGGGGGGGGGGGCGGAATCATCATGTATGCAGAAGGTATAATCATGTAAAAGTTATTTTAGAATGTTTTAAAACTGAAATGATCTTGTTTGTTGTGATGTTTAAGAATGCTGACAGGTAAATGATTGCTGGAGGTGTTCAGTATTTCCCTGTGCGGGTGTCTGTTTCATTTTACCAGCTTGTGCAGAATATTTTCCATAACTTATTTCAGTTACCTCATAATGAGCCAGCTGTTCCTACAGTGTTTTTGTTGGAAATGTTTGGCAAAGAAAACCTGTTAAATAGGTTTTTGTAATTTCTCAAATGTTATATATGTGATTTGTTAATAGATTTGCTGACAGTGATAGTTTTGTGCACTTTTTGGTATTTATAGAGATCTTTTGATGTTGTTTCTTTTATCAATATATTAATATATTTATCGTGTTTTGAAGTAACTGGTTTAAATTGACAAAAAAAAAAACAACAACAACAAAAAACAGTCTGTCAATAATTTGGTAAATAATAAAGAGTTCAAAACCTTCTAGCTTATTGAGACATTTTAAGAAATCTCACAAAGAATTATCAGATATATTATAAGAAAAGAAAGTTTGTTTTGTGAAAATTCAGCAACCAGGAAACCCTAATACATTGTACTAACTGCGAAACCATTATAATTAAAAAAATAAAATAAAATAGCATACCTGACTGGCTAAGAAATTCAGGTACAAAATAAAGAGAGCTCACTTAACCAGGAAAAATTTCCTGGACAGAAGATTGACAATTCATCATACAATTAACAGCCCATTGCTCTGTCATTGCGCCAAATTAAATACAACATTTTGTTCTGACATATATGGGCATTTTCATGAAAACAAATTTACAACATGGTACATTAAAATTTATAAAATGACAAATTCAACTGTAAAAAATGATAATTTTTGCAACTTGCACAGAACTGTTTATGTATTTTTTTTAGTAACAAAAGTGTCCGCTTGTCTGAATTATATAATTTGAAATTAAATTATGACAGTTTTATGATTAATTTAGTCACAGTCAGTTAATTATTTGGAGTTTTTTTGACAATCATGAACAGTGTGAGGTTTTTTTTCACAATGTGATTTTAGCTCATCTACATGTATATACTATAAAATTATGCTCTCTTAGTCATACAGGAGTCAACCATGTTTGTTGAGGGATTATACAATACTAAACTTTACTCCTTATCAGATCTTGAAAACTTCACTTCCATACCAGAGGTCATTATAAAGTAATAGAATTGGTCATCTAGAAAAAAATCTGATATAATCAGGTCACGAATTTACCTGACTAGATTTATTGTCTCTGTTTTGTTTGAATTCAGTATAAGGTCACTACACAAGTTGTTGAATCAATTGGAAATGTTACAACCCCCAAAGCTAACTTGATGATATTTGGTCAGTTAAAGTGTCCTAATTGTTACTGGCACATCATGATGCTTGATAACTTACATCATTTAAATCAAACTATTATTGTATTAACTTGGTTCTAAGCAAATAAACACAGGTAAATTTTAGTTAAAACATTCTAGTTTCTGTTTATGTTAATATATAATTGTAATATGCATTACAACTTTTACATTATTAATCTGTTTGTTTATTCATGTATTTCTATTTTTGGTTCAGTAAATTTATCATGTACCTGTTTCATAGCCTAAATATTCCCATCTGTGTTTTATTTTGATGATATGATTAATATGGTATTTTAAGATGAGAGTATGAAAATGACAAGTGTTTAACTTATAAAATCTGATGAAATATTTAGGGTTTATTTTCATCAGTACTGTAGTAAATAAGACATTATCAAACAATTAATGACACTATACTATCTTTGTTTTATTATCATGGTTACAGTTTTTGTATAATTACATGTAATTATCATGTATGATTTATCTGTCAGACATTTATGTTGGGTGTTAGTAAATAAGATATAATATATATACAATAGTTAAAGTAAGAGGAGATATTTGTATGTCTATGTTGAGCCTTCAGGCCTGGTGCAGTTGAACCTGCATACTGACTTATATCAAGGTTACAATGTCTTTCCAGTGTCTTTCTACAATTTTATATATGACAATTTGATTTCTAAATCAATAGGAAAACTGTTATATATTATAATACTGCACATTCAGGCAGATACAGTATGGGTTATATAAAATTGACTGGTTACTGATAAATGTGCATACCTCACATTCTTCAATATAGACCTTGTTTCTATACTGTACATCGTAGTGAAATTTCTTCATAGTATAGCATAGGTTAAGATAGATGAGGCCTTATGCAATTTTACCAATTATTTCAAGGTTTAAGCAAAGATTGTAGGTGTTTATATCAATATTTGAGTGTGGATAAATAGGACAATATTTGATTTATATCGGTTAAACGTGCAGGAACTCATATAAAAACTTTATGTAAGTATTTAAGACTTTTTTTTATCAAATTATTAAAAATATCAATTAAATTTCTTTTCACATATCTTTGAAATATTGAGGATTTAAAATTTAGAATTTTAAAAGCTTTAAAGCTTTACTGAACTAAAATTAATATGAAGATTTTTGTAAGTGGTTAATCATCTTTCACTTAAATTGCATTTGTAATTTACAGTTTTCTTTATGCATTTACATTTTTTTAATCAATTCAAAAATTGCGACCCTATAGAATGAAAGAATAAGGCCTTATAAAGAAAGAAATCATTTTATTCATTTTAAATCTGTGATGAATAACTTCATCATATTTTTGAGATTGGAGATTATGACCTTAAAGTGAATTCTAATCCCATGAGTAAAAAGAATATTTCAGAATGGCAAGTGATATAATGTATATTTCCTTGCAGGATTTATTGATATGTAAAGAAAGCCTAAAAGTTATAGCTTTATTAATATACATGTGTTGGTAGTTTTAATATGAAATTGTATGAGTGACATTGAAAACAGATTTTTTTTCTTAGACTTTTCTGGTTAGTAATAATTTGATTAATTATGAAATTGAAACATTCAAGATAAAGCTATGCTATTAAGTTTGGTATCTGATATATTAAATTGACATGCAGTACAAATATAAACATGAGATGTAGCACATAAGATAATTTTGACAAAAAGTTATAAATGATTTGAGGATCATCAGAGACTAAAAAGACAGTTATAATTTTAGTGAATAAAAACAAATAAAAGAAGGGCATTTTATAATACTGCTTTTTGTAAGTGTTGATTATGAGTGTTAATTTATAATATGGTGTGGCATTGAAATAAAAAGTAAATAGGTTTTCTTGATATTTAGAACAGTTGATTTGCACCATATGTAAACATGAGTTCATTCACTATTGGAAAACTAGCTGAAGGATCATGGGAATACCCTCATTGGAAAATACTGGCAAATGACAGTGTTTTAACGCTAGCGTCAATTAGTTTTTAGTTGGAATGGAGAAATTAAGGAAATAGTCACAGCTTCTCTCCCAAGTTTCAGGGATGGCGCACTTTTGTCACAGTTTACTTTCATTACAGCGTAGCAGATTGTAAAGGTTTAAATTGAGGATTTTATTATGTCTAAAATTAGTTCTTTTATTTAGGGAAAAACAATATTAGGAAAAAGAAAAAATCAATCTTAGGATTTGTGCAAGGTATTATTTTGAATGTTATTGATCTATTTTAGTTTGTAATTTTGTTTTGAAGATTTAATTCGTTCAAGTCTTTACTGTTAGAGAGATTTCCAGGATTTGTGCTGCAGGAAAAATCCAATTTGTTTTTCTGAACACTCTATTTCTGTATGTGCTATTAGTGCACATGTCAAGTGTTAGTGGTAAACAAGTTTGTGAGCAATCAGAGTGTACTAATGTTTTTAAAAATGTACTGTGCTAGTGTTGTTAGTTGTTCATTAGTGTACCTTACTGGTGATATAAAATGTTCACTAGTGTACTGATGGTAGTGTACAGTGTTCAATAGAGGTCTGTGCTGTTAGTGTATGCTGTTCAGTGGTGTACATTGCAGGTAGTGTACAATTTTCATTAGTGTACTATGCTGGTAGTGTAGACTGTTCTTTTGTGTACCATGCTGATTATAAGTGTACACTGTTTATTAGTTAACTTTGCTGGTTGGGTACAGTGTTAATTAGTGGACTCTGGTGGTAGTGTACACTGTTTATTAGTGAATTGTGCTGGTAGCTTACACTGTTCATTAGTATACTGTGCTGGTAGTGGATGCTTTTCTTTAGTGTACTTTGCTAGCAGTGTACAGTGTTCATTAGCGTACAAATATGCTGCTAGTATACATTGTTATTTAATATACTGTGCTGGTAGTTGATGTGCTGTGCTGGTTTAGTGTTCATTAGTGTACTAAGCTGTAAGTGTACAATGTTCATTGGTGTTCTATGCAGATATGCCCCTTTCTTTTGTACAGCTTTAGTGTTTAAAGTTCATTAGATACTCTCAAATTAAGACAATTTCATTAGTAATCTTCTGGATGATATTTTTTTTTAAATGATATATTTTTTATTAAACTAAAACTATTTTAGCCCTTTTCTTAATTTTTGGTTTCAAAATTTAATTCATATTCTGTAAATTTAAAAAGCAATATTACCTTGAAAATCTAACATTAGAATTTTCTTTATTTTATAATATGTTAATTATGATAATTTATTCAACCTTTTATTCAAATCTAAATATTCAAGGCTACATCATGTATATACAGTTGCAATTACTGAAGTATTTATGCATTAAAACATTAGATGATGGATCAGGGTTGTATACTTTGTGAATATTGAAACAGGTGGTCTTCTTATCCATGTAGACATGCTTATAATTAATTATATATGCGGGCATTTATGATTTAAGGACTTGATTTGTTATAGTTAAAAAAAAAGAAAAAAAGTAGGTATTATATTTTTCTATTTGAATGTGTGTCATTGTGTATATGCAGACAATCGTTTTGACAGGTATCAGAACATTTTAGGTAACAAGTTATGTAATTACAAAATACTGATCTTTTGATAAATTGACTGAGGTTATTTCTATCTTTTTCATATCATTAAATCATCTAAAATAATACATGAACATTAGTTAATATTTCATGAATTGCAGGGGTCCAGACTCTGTGGTTCTTGTTTAAGAATGCATAATTATGTATAGGGGCTAATTTCACTTGAAATATATAGAAAATAAGTCTTATATATATATTAGTTGCTCCATTTAGGAAAATATGTGGTATTTTGAAGAATAATACATACAATTTTATTGCATCAGTTATTTAAATGCATTAATTCTGGATCAGTTTAAAAAAAGCTATTTAATAATGTTTTGAATTATGATTAAGGTTGATGATTATACAAGAAATGATGTACATTTATATGTTTTAGGACATGAAGATGGCAGGATGTATTAACAGACAGTGACACTGGTACCCATCATGGGGGCTGAGGAGAGTAAGCCGGGAACCCCTTGTTATGGGCTAATGGGTCCCTCATCCGTTGTCAGCAACATGAACAGGCAGGCTCAGCTGGCAAGATCTTGGGCCCTGCTGCATCAGTGTTCATTAGAACAATGGAAACTAGGTCATGGAGGTTTGTATATATTTATATAATTTTAATACTATATTTTTGCTTTTTGAGCTGTTGGTCCAAAAGAGTCTATTTTTCAACTATCCTTTTAAGTGGAGCTGGTAATTGTCCAACTTAAAAGCCTCAGTGTTATAGGTTATTTTTTGTAGTAAAGCTTTTATATATGGTCATTAACTTCATTGCTAACAAAGCTTTTGAGTCGAAACATAATATGTGGATGCATGTTGATGAGTCCTGCATGCAATGCCAATATTTTGGTCAAAGGTCCTTTTAATTCTATTAGTTTATTTTACTAAAATGTACAGTTTACTATGCATGACTGAGGAAAGTGGAGTGCACTGTTGTTTGCAAGTAGGGACCATCAACATATCTATTTTTATTGGCTATACCACTAAAAGTAACTTTTTGTGTGTTTTCTGGATAAATGAACTTTTACCCAGTTCAAAGGAAAAGTCCTGGGGCAATTGTCAATGAAATTAATATCTTTTGTTTGATTGTTACAATTATAAATACCTTACAGCCTCAGAATCTTGATATTGATATTTATCTACATTTAGTACATTTTGTGAATTCCTTTCCAATGCACATTTTACCAGATTTACTAGATTTTTGTTAACAAAACAAATAAAACACAGACATATATTTTACAAGTATGTCAGAATTTAAGTCAGAAGAGATGTTTTCTCCATTAAGAATCTGACTGTTTTATTGTTTTGTTTCTGCAGAATCGTTGTGTTTGTCTAACCACTCCTGTCTATGAACTTTACCTTATTGATTTGTAACGATACAGCTTGTAAGATGTTATCATTTTGACAAGCCTTATAATGGAAATAATTAAACCATGCAATGTTGTTTTGTATTAGATTATTGATAAAGATGAGGATTATTTCTTTATACATGTTATGCATGTTCAAATGTTGAATAATATCTTGATATGCATACAGAAGTTCCAGATAAAATTTTATTCTTTAACCTGCTGAAAGACTTGAAGATTCCAATTTTAAAACTGTCTATTTTCAATTTTTGGGATACCAATATTAAAATATAAAGTTAGTAAAGCTTGATGTACAAGCTGCCTTGGGTCTACTGGTGTAAGGATTTCATATGAATGAGTTTGAGCCTCAGGCATTGCTTTTTTACTACTACATGAAGCTTAGTATTGAGTTGTAAGTTTTAACAACACCACAGATTAAGTTGTTTGTCTACCACCACAGTTTAAGTTGTTTGTCTACCACCACAATTTAATTTGTTTGTCTACCACCACAGTTTAAGTTTTTTGTCTACCACCACAGTTTAAGTTGTCAGTCTACCACCACAGTTTAAGTTGTTATTCACTACGACATTTTAAGTTGTTAGTCTACTACCACAGTTAAAGTTGTTAGTCTACCACCACAGTTTAAGTTGTTAGTCTACCACAACATTTTAAGTTGTTAGTCTACTACCACAGTTAAATTTGTAAGTCTACCACAACATTTAAAGTTGTTAGTCTACCACAGCAGTTTAAGTTGTTTGACACTACCACAGTTAAATTGTTAGTCTACTACCACAGTTAAAATTGTAAGTCTACCTTAACAGTTTAAGTTGTAAGTCTACTTCAACAGTTTAAGTTGTTAGTCTACCACAACAGTTCAAGTTGTAAGTCTACCACAACAATTTTAGTTGTTAGTGTACCACCAGTTTAAGTTGTTAGTTAGTTAAGTTGTTAGTCTACCACCACAGTTTAAGTTGTTAGTCTACCACCACAGTTTAAGTTGTTAGTCTACCACCACAGTTTAAGTTGTTAGTCTACCACCTTAGTTAAGTTGTTAGTCTACCACCACAGTTTAAGTTGTTAGTCTACCACCTTAGTTAAGTTGTTAGTCTACCATCACAGTTTAAGTTGTTAGTCTCCCACCACAATTTAAGTTGTAAGTCTACCACCACATTTTAAGTTGTTAGTCTACCACTACAGTTAAAGTTGTCAGTCTACCACCATAGTTTAAGATAATGCATAACTACAACTTTTGGAGAAAAGTTCGATTTAAAGCACACTGACAAGTGGTAACACTCTCACTGGCACTGTAAGATTTCTTTTCTTGCATATCAGACTGCCGGAAATTTCATCTGGCATGGGGGGTGCCAGATGAGTCGCGTGCTGTACAATGGCGCGCTCAGGATGACGTCATTTTACCGTTATGAATGAAGTTGTAATTCATACGCTGTTGTAAGAAAGTAGTTACGGTTGTAATTATATAAATTTCCATTGAAATTAAAGATAAAGAATTTAAAATATAATGGAATATGGTAGAATATGCAAGAAAAAATATCTGACATATGTTTGCGATTTGGATCGGAATATCCGTCCCTCGGTCACCCGCCCAGTTTGCAGAGTTACCGCCCATGGGCAGGTGACCGAGGGACGGATATTCCGATCCGAACCGCAAAATATGACAGATATTATTAAGATATGTCATTGATAACTATTTCTAAATAGTTTCTAAATAGGTGTAAAACCATAACAACTGAATGTTTAATATTTATGAAGTAAATTGTTTTTAATTGTATGCTTAAATATGATATTGCAGAAGTAACACAAACTATATTTAGTTTCAAATATTGCTGAGATTTCATCCCTTTTGTCAATGTAAGCAGGAAAACTATGTAAATTATTCACTTGCTGTAAGCTCAGTAGTTCAATAGTAATACAGCCCCCATGGAATTGTGAGATTTTGCCTGAGGCACTGTGCATCATTTAATGACACCTTAGTTGAAGACATTTTGTGAAGAGTGTTACAGTAATGTCATGTGGAGCTTCTGTTCTAGACAATGCACCTTGTATATCATGTAATGCAGGAATTTACAAATAATTAAGGATTTGTACAAAAGTAACATAATTGTGCAATTTTTTGGCCAAGAAAACGCCTGAATTATATTTTTATATGTGTCTTTTTAGTATTATATGACATTAGTAGTTTGACTGATGTCTAAGGTATACCAAATATCAAAATAATAAAGTTTAAAATGCTTTATTGTACTTATTGATATTGACAAAACGCAAATGTCGTCTTCAAAATGGTAGTCTGATCATAATTCTCATAAATGATCTAAAAAGGTAAACATATTCCTGGATATATTTGTAATGCTGGTTAAAATTAATACCTTAGCAGTCATCTGGCTGTAGCTAAAACCTGAAGAATAGCAGATAATTGTTCGTACAGAATCCATTTAAACTGCACACAAGTTTCATATTTGAATATTGTTGTTGGTAAGGCAGTAAACCAAAAACGTAAAAGTAACGAATAATTGAAACAGTCAGCACTATTGGCTGTATTTATTTCTGTAATCATTAATGTATGATTTTATTACCATTATTGAACCAACTCATGCTGAGATAATGTTTAGTTTGATATATTTCTGTAGGTAAGTATGTTAGATATAATCATGCAGTAGAAAATAAATAAATCATTACATATATCCCTAGCAATAATTAATAAATATTTGAGTGGAAGTACCTGTTGTCAATTAGATATATGAGCATCAGACAAGAATAGAAGTACATGTAATTGATGTAAATAGATATATGTTTGTTTTAGCCTGATTGCGAAACAAGTTTTTGCTAATCATTTTTTAGTCTGCTTCCTGGAACCAACCAGGACTGTGTCATCATATGAAGAAACATGATTGTTACCTGATTAGGGCTCGGACCTATGATCACTGGTTTGAGAAACAGACACCTTAACCACTAGGCCACCACTCCCCTGACATTTTGTAGATAACTGTGACCAGAAAAAAGTGATTTTTCTCATGACTGATGTAATCTGAAGATGTCTTTTAGCTTTATTTGTGCTGATAATAATTGTATGTTATGGTATCAAGGTTGAAATTAACATTGTGATATAATGACACTTACCCTGAGTTATGTGGTCATATAACCAAAATATGTGTTATAACATTTATTCTGCATGCAGTTTTCGAAAAAATCAATGTTTTTTTATGATTTCCACATTTCGTAACAAACAGTTTTGGTATATTTTGTATGAGTATACATAAAACTATATATGGTTATTAAAGTCTATGTCAGGTCATTCAGTTATACAATTGTTTGGTTAATGAAGATTTTGTCTATATATACCAAAGTCTGTAGTTTGATAAAAATAGAGAGTATATATCTTGGTTTTTGGACCTGTCTTTCTCCTATTAGGTCTAGCCAGTTTTGAAACTTTTGTATAAAAGTGTTACTTTGATGTTTCTCCTAATATTCTAATGAAAAAGTTTCACTGGGTGTTATTATCTAGATTTGTAGCATGTATATTTGTTGAAATTTATTGATTTTCTTGATATAAGGAAGATTCCTAATCAAAGTAATTAATTTTGTTATAAAATTAAATTGGATTTATGCAAATCAAAAGCAATATTGAAAGGATTTATTATATATTTCCCTGATGTGAAGATAAGGTTAAGATTAACTAGAGAATTTGGAAAGCTCTGAGTCTCTGTCCCATCTGTTAGCTTTTAGTATTTCACAAACATAAAAATGTTCTCAAAATTAATGAAGTTAGCAGAAATTCAATTACCTATTTTTGCTCTCTAGATTGAAAAATTAACTCAAAAACATTAGAGGTAGAAATAACTAGGAAAAAATCCAAGAAAAGACTTCATCTACGCTTTTGTATTTTATGAAATGTTTTATAAAATTCTAGGTATATTTTTGTACATTGTGAAATGTTATATGTAATTGTAGGTTTATTTTTGTAGTTATATGTAATTGTAGGTATATTTTTGTACATTGTGAATGTTATTTGTAATTGTAGGTATATTTTTGTACATTGTGAATGTTATTTGTAATTGTAGGCATATTTTTGTGTTTTATGAAATGTTATATGTAATTGCCAGTATATTTTTGTACATTACAGAAGCGGCAGGATTCAGTGAGACAGTGATGTGTTGTAACAATGTTGTGTTCAAAGACTGTAGTCCTGCTTTCTGTACTAGTCGGCAAAGTATCATAAACATACCAAAGCCTTCAAGAATATTCCGTTTTCGACGGCGTCGGAAATTCACCAAGATGGCAGAGCATTTTGAGTACAAGGTTGTTCCAGCACAGATGTCATGTATTCAGAACTTCCAAGTGAAGAGTGTTCTTTGTTTCCAAGGAAACACAGTAATTTTACATTTGATTCGCAATATGACAACTCAGTTTGGAATTGTTGATCTGTCTCAAGACAAGTTTCTAGGTGTGTTCGGGATTCAGTTTGCCAGTTTTAACAATGAAGTTTTACGGGGCAAGATTAGTGCCGATTGTTCAGTTTGCCTTATCAAAGTTCCCCAGCTACAAGCTGGAGCCACCAATGTGTTTATATTACAGTTATATGATCTCAAGAGCAAGTCATTGCTTAGTGAGTATACACTGCCATATCTAGATACAGCGTTTGCCTTTGACCCAAGGTTTAATTGGACCCGACTTGCTGCGACAAGCTTCCTACAGGGAAGTGATAATAGCCTTAGTATTGTTAGAGTAAAAAGCTGGGAAATAGTGGCTTCTAACCCAAGACTTGATGATATGAGACCTAGTCAAAATCCTGAACTTAAGGACATTCTGTATTCAAAAGATGGTTTTCTGATCTTTGCTGTCATGGTAACAGGTGGATGTCATTGTCGGGAGAGAAAGTCGAGGCGAACAAATCCAATAGATGTTAGTATATATGTGTTCAATGCTGACACAACAGATACCATTCACTGCATACAATATCACAGATACACATGTGGTCTACATCTGTGTCCGGTCAACTATATGCCAACATTTTCACACTGTGGCAGTCGTATGGCTATCGTTTTAAATGATATGGAAGATACATTGGATCATGTACAGATTTATAAACTACCAAACACAATGAGTCTACAGAATAGGTGCCGTGTAAGGATTCTTCAACAGTTCCCACCAGATATGCTTCATCAGCTGCCATTACCCAACAGGATGATTCAGTTCTTGAGATTCCATCCTGAATATGAATAAAAACATTGTAATGTAGGATGAAAAATGCAGAGTAATGCTACAATTTCATTTTAAATGAAGAAATGATAAGCATGTTTTTGTTTTGTTAGGAGGTTTCATATTGAAAACACATTTAGTTTAGTCATTAAGCAATTCTTTTTTACTTAAGTTTGTTTTCTATGATTTTTTTACTATTAACTTTTATACCTGTTTGAAAAAGTTTATTCAGGTCTTTGATATCTTTTTTTATTCCTTTTTTTTCGTAGTAATTTTTGTTGATCAATTATTAGAACAAAATCATTGTTTTTATGAGAGATTTAAAAAGAATTTAGTCTACCCTTCTTCTGTTCATTTTGTTCTTTCCTTCCTAGAATCAAAATTAATTTGTTTAAGGTTAGTGATACGCAATTATAAGGGCACAATTTAACATGTTAAAATTGATTATTATTTTATCAATTTTTTTTTAAGAATTTATTGTTTTGCTTTAATACAGTAGATTAAAGTTGTAATGATACAAGTTTTCTGATATACCATGATATATTGTCAATGATATTCTATGGTACAAGGGGATTGGTGTACCATGATACATGGTCTATGATATAGTATACAATGATACAAGGTTCCTGGTATACCATGATGGACAATCCATGATATCCTATGGTACAATGTTTTTGATACACCCCATGATATACCATGATACAAGGTTCCTGGTATACCAATTGATACATTGTCTATGATATACTACGGTGCAAGGTTTTATGATATACTATGATACATGGTCCATGATATGCTATGATACATGGTCCATGATATACTATGATACATGGTCCATGATATACCATGATACATGGTCCATGATATACTATGATACATGGTCCATGATAAACTATGATACATGGTCCATGATATACTATGATATACATGGTCCATGATATGTGGTCCATGATATACTATGATACATGGTCCATGAGATACTTTAATACATGGTCCATGATATACCATGATACATGGTCCATGATATACTTTGATACATGGTCCATGATATGTCCATGATATACTATGATACATGGTCCATGATAAACAATGATACATGGTCCATGATATACTATGATACATGGTCCATGATATACTATGATACATGGTCTATGATATACTATGGTGCAAGGTTTTTGATATACCATGATACATGATCCATAATACTATATGTATAATTAAGAAGCAGACAGTTCAAATCATTTAATTTCATTGAAAACTGTACTTTACAGCTTACAGCACATGGTAATTGCAGAAAAATATGCATACTCTGTCTTCAAAGTAAGTGTGACATTTATCCTATTTTTTCAATGGCACTTGTGGCAGTTTTAGGAAACTTGAACACCACATGTTTGTTGACACATCACAGGAATATGCTCTGTCATGGGCCACCAAAAATAAAACAGTAGCTTATTTCCTTCTCATAAATGATATTAAGTACACAGTTCTTATAATATAAAATATTATGAAATGTACATTTTCATTTGTAATGAAAATCTTTAAGGTAGTCGAAAAACAAAAAATACATTTATCTTTTGGCCTAATACAGAAAAATTAGAATGATGTTCTTTTCTTTTTATCCATCAATTAAAAGTGTTTGTTTTGTGGAATATAATGTAACAAAGAAGGTGTTAACATTTAACGGGTTTACCAAATACGATTTTGTTTGCTCCTGCCAGTATTTCATCTAGTCCTTGTTTATAACCATGTTTAATGTTTTGTGATATTACAAAAGTTATGAAATATTATCCATAGTTTAAACCTTACCACTTTAAATAAAATAAATGGACATGTCCATAATTCAATTTGGAGAAAACAATTACTCATTTGTAGGGAAAATTATGAAATATTAGTAATGATTGATAGAGAACAGTACATGTCATGTACATATTGCATGGATATCACCAGCTGTGCATGGTCTGATTGATGGCATGGATAAAATCTACTGCTGACATCTAGCAAAAATACAATCATGTATGGATTATTTATATACATGAACATGATAAGGTTTTATTTTTTACATTATTCAATCAAAATAAGACATCAAAAGTTAATTTTTTATTGATTTCGGTTAAATTTGAAAGCTAAAGTTATCAATTTAAAATATAAACTTTGATAATTTAAGGCAATCAATGTTTTCATGGTTTAACTGAAGGAATTAAGAAAGTTTTATATTGTTAATGTATTGTTTGAGAATGGTATTACAGAAGTTGTTCATTATGATTTTATGGTGTAAAGGTGTAAATGGTAAATTGTTTAATCAATCATGCAGTAAAATCAATACAAGAGGTCATCAGGAAGTGATGAATATGCTATATAAACATGTATTTTTAGATATGCTATGCAGAAAACATAAACAACTATGTGACATGTAACAATACAGTAGCTCTGCAATTAAAATAAGTCCTGATAGATGTCATTGATGAGATGATTTCCTTCTGCTGTTCACTGACTTCAATTATTTTTGTTTTTCTCAGATAATCAAGTCTTGAATTAGGGTTGACAATATACATGCAGTAAACATAAATTTTTTATTTAGCTGATCACAAATAGAGAAGTTGTTTTGTCTTCTATTGCCAAAGGTAACTGCAAATTGGTCCAGATATTCTGTATAAAATAAATGGGGCATATTTGCAAAGATTGTATAGAAACTTAAAATATATATTGTTCATGAGGCAATCATTGTTGTATACCAACATTTTTAGTCAACAGATGAGATTTACTGTTTCATATGATCAATATTTCATTATATCACATACCCGTGCCGCTTTTGCAACGTTATTTTCATTACATAAACATAGTGTAAAAACATGCTAAATTTTAGTGTTGCACCATAGGTGTATGTATGAAAAATGATTGTTTTACACTTATTTTGGGTATGGGTATGTGACAGATAGAATATTATATTTGTGTTGGTTCATTTCCGAATTTATTCAACTTGTTCAATAAAATTATATTTTGCTCACCAAAGGCCCACATAATATTATTTTATTCAACTCGTTCATTAAATTCAGTATTGAACCTACACTCATGCAGTAGCCTCTATATTGAGTGATAGCATCACAAAGTTTTTTTTTATCAACTGTACTTTTTAAAAAAAACAAGAAAGTGCTAAATTAAAATAGATTTTTGCACATATTAGTTGTTTGGTTTTCTCATAAAAGGAATAAATTTGAACAATAAATTTTTGAGAAAGAATATGGATATTATTGTAAAAATTAATATGTAAATATATTTTGCTTGAATCTGTCATGTACAATGTATACAAAATGTACTATATTTATAACTTACATGATTTATTTCAGACATTTGAAATATTCATAAGTTTTAGAATAAATGTGCTCAGATATATGATATTTTACATTTATACTGGTCACAGGAAGAAGTTTTAAGATTTGAGCCGCGTCATGACAAAACCAACGTAATGCGTTTGCGACCAGTATCCGCGCAGTCTGATCAGGATCCATGCTGTTCGCTTACAAACCCTATAACAAGTAGAGAAACTGATAGCGAACAGCATGGATCCTGACCAGACTGCGCGGATGCGCAGGCTGGTCTGGATCCATGCTGGTCGCAAACACATTATGTTGGTTTTGTCGTGACCAGCTCATTTTATGAGTAAGATCCAGTTAATGATATATTTGACAATGTTATAGCATGTAAATCGCATGTATTCACCAGTCATGTATATATGTGTGTACTATATGTAGCTGGCTACATACATTCTAATGTTGTTTATCTAGTCATACTGCCTGTTAAAGCAATGTATATTTCATGTTGTATACAAACTGTACAACCACTACAGACAATACTGTTAATGGCTTTTTATTATAACTTATAATTGTTAATTGTTTAAAGCTTACTTTTAAATTGTTTTAAAGTTTAGTTGGCTTGTTCTACGAAATATCTAACCACTGCATGTAATCAATTCATTTTTTTGTTAATTAAGACCATAATTAACAACATTTCTGAATGTCCTAAACATCCTTACCTAATTGTTTAAGTATAATGAATTTTGTTAATAACTAGGAGAAATAATCCTCCATTATAATGATTTTAGAGTTATTCGTGCTATTCATTATTCTTTTGAATGATGTTAAATGTAAATACTTCCCTCAAATAAAGGGATTTGAATGTTATTAAGGAGTACAAAATGAAATGGTATTTCAGCAAACATGTTCAAATATTATGACTACATGTTAACTACATAGGGCAGTTGACCGGTCAGTTATACAAGGTTGTTTATAGTGATATATTTTTATGGGATGTAATAAAACAGTTTTAACAGATATTGAACTGGTTATATATCACTGGTTTCATTTGTTTTAATTGTTTCCTTTGTATATTTGTCAATATACCTATACTTAAATTATCTGGTATATACACTAAATATGTCATCAATCTATATTTGTTACAACACAACCACACTAGAACATGTTGTATCTTTTAATATAAACTTTTAAGGTACATTTGCATAGACATTCCCATTTTCATTAGCAAAAAAGCTCAATTTTAAAAGGATGAATTCAGGCCAAAATTATGTGTTAGAAATTACTTTCACTTTGTCATTTTTATAGTTGGTTATGTAAAATAATTGATATAAGTTGATTAGATATATTAGATTCAGAAATTAATATTGAACATGAGTGCTCACAATAAAGTGTTCAGTCAAATTACGTTGTCTTTCTTGTTACAAAAATGTTCATGTTTTACATAGTTAATGATATCATTATTTTACCAACATTTAATGTAAATTGCATTCTCATTTACATGTTGTTGTGAATTTAAATTAAATGTATACAAGAAGAGTTTGAGTTCACTGAAAACATGAAGAAAATCATTGTTAAACATTTAAATAATTAAAGAAAAAAAATGGCTTCAGCTAGTTAATTGTAAGTTTGGTTCAAATACAAAAGGAAATGTAGATGTCTTGTTGTTTTTTATTTCTCACAGAGATTTAGAAGTACTGCTTTAGTTTATTTTGAACAATTATTACAGCTACATTATTTTGTAAGAAGTGTTTCCTCGGCATTTAACAAAGCTGCAAATAAGTTCAATAGTCTTTGAATTTTTAGTTAAGCTCACCTTCCAAGATTCATTAAGATTCTTCACTAAGTTTTTGTGTAATTTTTGAATACATTCTGGCTACATAGCAGTAAAACTTGGCAAATCTTAAACTATTTGTTGTAATTGAGAAAATCTCTTGAAAAGTTGAATCATCTTGGCAGACAGGTATAATTAGTTTAAGATTGTTTATTTTGTCTTAATTGTAACTAGGGGAGGAAACATTAACGAGCATTGCTACTTGTGTAATTTAACACTCAAGTCAATTAGCAAAAAGATAATGTCTTCATGGTTTATTTAAATGAATCAAACTTGATTTTGTTAAAAACTGGAGTTTTATAAATTTTGTTTCAATCTTTCTCATCTGAATTACAAGTTGTTACAAGCTGATAATAGTTACAAAAAATCCTGAAAATTACGCTCT